AAACGTCAGCCTTCCTGCTCCTCTGCTGCTTGGCCTGCTGTGTTCATCCAGCTCTACACCTTGTTATCTCAGATTCTCCAGCATCTGCAGTTCCTACTACCCCTGAAACTATGATCAGCATTTTGTGTTGAGGACTGGACATGGATGAAATGCTGTGTAAGGACTGATCTCTCTATCTGACTCGTTTTGGCCCATGGGGAGTGCCTCTGTGCAATGTGCCAAGGAAGAGGGAACTGCTGATGATACATGGTAGGTGGGAGATGGGGCCTGTCTGCTGACAACCTGGGTGAGGCTAGCGCTGGAACTAGTAGGAGGACGGAGGTGTGGGTAACAGTTTCCTGGATCTTGTGATCTTTTTCATCTTTGCTGTCTTCATACAGCTGATCACAGAGCAGCAGGATGATCAGCTGGAGCTGGTATCAGGCAGTATCGGTGTTTTGAAGAACATGTCACAGAAGATTGGGAACGAGCTGGATGAGCAAGCAGTGTGAGTGTCACTCCACCCATTCATTTTTGCCTTTTGCAAGGGTGTGTGCGCGGTTTATGTTGAGCTTGAGGGGAAGGGGTTGTGTTGATGTGGCAGCATAAGGAAAACCTGAAGGGGCTGGATAAGCACATTGGATAGATCAGGGAAGATCCAGTTGCTACATAATCTAAATCTGTGAATCATTGCCCTTGCCACCTGCAAATTTTGACATTGAAACAGTCAAACTGGACATGTTTGGAAAGAGATTTTGTTTCAGTGGTCAGGAAGGAACTGCAGTATTTGGACGGGCTTCACCTGAGCTGACTGGATCTAGTAACCTCATTGAAAGGAAACATTGAGTGTTCACAGGAACTGTTTAACTAGTAAGTGGGAGTCAGAGGACTTGGGTAGAAAATGTGGTATAGACAGCAGTTTGAAAACAATTAAAATGGAAGAGAATAGACTAATAGTCAGACGTTGTGCTTTCAGCACTGAAGATAGGAAACTAAAAGTTGTACAGCAATTAAACTTGAAGAAGGAAATGAGAAATACCTCAGCAACATATCAGAGGTGAAGGATAGTTTAGGGTGGGTGGCCCAAATAAGCATTTTTTTATAGTACTTCAGTGCCTGTAATGTAAAAATAGAGTGTTGGTTTGGAATTTTTAATCTAATTTTAATTCAAAGTTACTCTTCATGTTTTATCCACCACTTCCCCAATAACTTAAAGGATTTTAGTTACCTTTTTGTTACTATGTAATTGTCACATTTGAATTTAATGCCTTCATAAAAAATTTTCTTTGAGAGTCACACTGCAGTTCGCCTCCCTGCAAATGTGGTTCTTGAATATAGAAAGTTCATGGATATGAAAAGCAAATTCAATGAATTTCGGGCAGAAATTCACCTTGGAGGGTATGATCTGAAAACTAGTGTGACAATACAACTGTAAGTGGTCAGAACTGGGAACTAAATATTAGAACGTCTGGAGGAGTGAAGGGGAAGATCTTAGAAGGGAGAAGTATCCTTTGTTATTTAGTATAAAATCGTGTTCATAAGAGAAAAGCAAACAGTAGCATTTGAAGTAGAATTAAATAGAAAGGATTTAAGTCTCATGGGACTTGTGTAGAGGTCTTTCAAGAAGTTATTGTGAAAAGGTAGCTTTGTATAAAACTGGGATTAGGTAACCATTTGACAAAGGAAAGTTAGATTTCATAGCTTAGAGTTAGCAGACCAGCAAATGGCAGAAAGGGGGCTAATTTCTCATGCATCGGGACCATTTTCTGCAACATAATGTCCAATTTTAACTCTTAACATTCAAAACCCACCCACTTAACATAAAGCCCAAGTGTAGTGTTGACTCTAGGGGAAACAATTTTCAGGGTTAATGGGAAAGAGCAAGTGAATGGGACTGATTGGAAATCTTGACCAAAAGGTCAGCATCAATGCATTTGGCCAAATGGTCCCTTTCTGTGTTGTATGGTTCAAATAGAATTGAGCTGTGAGAAAATTTTAAGTTTGCAGAAGACACAAAGATAGGTGAAGGGACAGGTAGTGTTGAGGAAGTGGAAAGGCTGCAGAAGGACTTGAGCGGACTAGGAGAGTGGGCAAAGAAGTGGCAGATGGAATGCAATGTGTAAAGGTGTGCAATTTAATAGAATAGAGGCATAGACTATTTTCTAAAAGGGGAAAGGCTTCCGAAATCTAAACACAAAGGGTCTTGGGAGTCGTAGTTCAGTGTTCTCTGAAGGTTAACATGCAGGTTCAGTTGGTGGTTAGGAAGGCAAATGCAATGTTAGCATTCATTTCAGGAGGGCTAGAGTACTAGAGCAGAGATGTACTGCTGAGGCTGTATAAGGCTCTGGTCAACCTGCATTTGGAATATTGCGAGCAGTTTTGGACCCTGTAATCTAAGGAAGGATGTGCTGGCATTGCAGGGGGTCCAGAGGAGGTTCACAAGACTGATCACAACATAAAAGGTTCATATATGAGGAGCGGTTGAGGACTCTGGTTCTGTACTTGGAGTTTAGAAGGATGAGGAGTGATCTGATTGAAATTCTAAGAATACTGAGTGGCCTGGATAGAGTGGACGTGGAGAAGATGTTTCCACTAGTCTGAGAGACCAAGACATGAGGGCATAGCCTCAGTGAAGGGAGAACTGCGATGAGGAATTTCTTCAGCCTGGGGTGGTTAATCTGTGGAACTCATTCGCACAATGTTGTGGAGGCCAAGTCATTGAGTGTATTTAAGACAGGGATAGGTTCTTGATTAGTAAGGGATTCAGGAGTCACACAGAGGCCAGGAGAATGGGGCCATGATTGTATAACAGAGCATACTTGATGGACTGAATGGCCTAATTCTGCTTCTGTATCTTGGGGTCTCGTGCCCTAGAACCGACAATGGGCAACACCATAATAAATTTCATAATAAGCCAGCTTAAATTGGTTACCTTAACTAACTGAGCTTGTTTAAAAAGCTATTTCAACATTATATTCCCTGCTGCACTTTTCAAGCATCGAGTGAGAAAATATTTGAGTGCATGTTGCTGCGGGTCTAAGTAGGTGGCCCTACGTTTCTGATCTGATTTGAAATATAACATGCAGTCAAGAACAAGTTCTATTAATAATGCAGGGCGCATAAAGGATGAAATTGGAGCTTGGATTTCGGTGTTATGTTTCACCCTCTGTACCTTCTGTTCTCTCACAGCATGCTTGATGAGTTCTCTTATGAGTTGGATAGTACCCAGTCGCGGCTGGATAATGTAATGAAGAAACTGGCCAAGGTGTCCCACATGACCAGTGGTAAGTTGCAGGGGGCTGACTGTATCAGTACAGTACTTAATTCACACATTGATCCCAGGACATGAGTAAATAACTTTGGAAAGTTGGTTGCTACTATGATCTGAGATTGGACCTTTGGAAGACCCAGGGTTGCTCTTGGGCAGGAATTGAAACATAAAATGGGGGAAAAAAGATCAAGATGTTACGACATAGAACAACAGTATAGATGACTACAGATTTATATTTTTTCCTGCTTTAAGCCAGGGTTGGGATATGTGAGCTATTTCCTTACTAATGAATTCAAGTCAAACTAATTGTACAACTGAAATAATTGAACAATAATTTGAATTATTAAATAAGTAAACAGATGGTGGAAGGGTTGTGTGTGTGATTAACACATGGGGATATGATATTGCTATTGTGGAGACATGGTTGAGGGTTGGGCAGGATTGGCATCTCCATATTCCAGTGTATAGAATCTTCAGGCAAACAGGAGAGTGGATTGTGAGAAAAGTGGTGGTATTATAATACCGATCAAGGAATCAGTTACTGCAATAAGGCGGATTGGTATCAAAGTAAGTTCCCCAATTGAGGCCGTTAAGGGTTGAACTTGAAAACAGAAAGGATCAGTCACATTGAGTGTTTATTATTCCCAGTCAGGAAGAGAGAGTACCTGTGTGGGCAGATCTCAGAAGTGTGACAATAAATAGGGGATTTCAGCTTCCTCAAAATTAACTTGGTTAAGCAAAATGTGAAAGGCTTGGAGGGGACAGAATTCTTAATGTGTACAGGAGAACTGCTTTAAACCAGCATGTAGAAAGCCCTTCAAGAGAGGGTAGGTGCTGGACCTAATTTTGAGGAACAAAGTTGGGCAAATGGTAGAATTGTCAGAGGAGTAGAGGAGCACGTTGGTGATAGATTTGGTTACTAAGATTTAAGATAATTATGAAAAAGTACAAAGTTGGACTGGAAGTAGGGTCTGAATTGGGGGAAGGCTGATTTTGAGACAACATCTGGCCAAATTGGACTTGTCTCAGCTACGTGCAGGAAAACCCACATTTTAAGCAGTGGGAGACATTTCAAAAGGATGTGGTGAGTGTGCAGAGCCAACATCTTCCTGTAAAGTTGTGAATGGCAGTGGGGCAAACGTATCCAGGAATCCTAGATGTCAAGGAATGTGCAAAGTTGGATAAAGAGAAGGAGGAAGCATATGGTAGGTGGAGGGCTGAAAGCAGTATAAGCTCTAGAGGATAATGGAAAGTGCAAAGGGTTACTTTTCTTCTCTAATTAAAAAAAGAGCCAAGAGGGAATGAGAGAAAGCACTGGCAGGTAAAATAAAAGATAATCCAGAAATGCTCTTTATGTATATTGGAAGCAAGAGGATAACCATGGAAAGAGAAGCTCGTTAGGGACCAAAGTGGCAATCTTGTGGAGATCCTGAGGACATGGGTGAGGTTTCAAATGATTACTTTGTATCTGTATTCACTATCAAGAAGAACAACATTGGTATAGACGGGATGGCTAGGTATGTGGGGGATCTCTGAGCAAACCTGAGCAGTTGCCAGTGAGAAGGAGGAGGTATTAACAGATTTAGTAAGCTTTAAATAGATTAAATCCCCTGGGCTCAGATGACATGCATCCCAGGCTGCTGTGAGAGGCAAAGGAGCAGATTGCAGAGACTTTAGCCTTAAAATTCCAATCCCCTCCGGACATGAGAGGTGCCAGAGGACTGGAGGACAGCTAAAGTGATACCATTATTCAAGACGAATGGCAGAGAGAAACCAGTGAACTGCCGGCCAGGCAGTTTAGCATCAGAGGTAGGGAAAATTTGGAAAGATTTGAAGGACAGCATTTATTTTCCTCTTGGAGAGTCAAGAATTAATCAACGATAGTCAGCATGACTTTGTAAGAGGGATATCCTGCCTAACAAATTTGACTGAATTTTTTGAGGTGGTAACTAGATGTGTGGATGAGGGTAATGCAGGACCTTCGGTAACGCTTTGTATGGGAGATTGGTCAAGAAGGTAAGAGCCCTTGAGTTCAGGGCAATTTGTCAAATAGGATCAAAAACTGGCAGAGATTTGGTGCTGGATCCTTGTTGTTTATAGTGTTCGTTTGTTAATTAGGCACTAATCAGGTGTTATTTGTGAACCAAGTGATAAAACAATATTTGGTGTGGTAAACGGTGAGGGGATGAGCTTTTGACTACAGGAATGTATAGACCAGCTGGTCAGATGGACAGGAGAGTAGCAGATGGAACTTAATCCTGAAAAACATCTTGGGTTTGCTATCAAAGCAAGGGACTATACATTGGTAGGACCCTAGGAAGTACAGAAGATCAGAGACCTTGGTGTGCCTGTCCCCACATCCTTGAAGGCAGCAGGACAAGTAGATAAGGTGTTTAGTCATATGGGATATTTGCCATTATTGGTTAAAGCATTGGATACAAGAGCAGAGGGGTTATGATGAGCTGTCTATGATGTTAATGAGGTCACAGCTGGACTGCACTGTTGGAGAGTTGTGATTGCACTAGAGATGGTGCAGGGGAGATTCCAGCTCAGACAACATTCTGGTGAGTGATTCACCTATGAAGACAGACTACATAAACTGGGGTTGTTTCCCTTCGAACAGAAGGCAAAAGGTGGGGTGGGGGTGGTGGATCTCTGAAATTGAGGGGCATTGACACTGGAAATAGGCAAAAACCTCCCTCTTTAAAGGAGTCAATTACCAGAGAGCATAGATTTCAAATGAGAGGCAGAGGTTTAGAAGGGATTTACAAAGTAATGTTTCACCCAGAGGGTTGAGTATGTGGAATTCAGTGCCTGAAAGAGCAGCAGAAGTAGGAACCATTTCATTCAAGAACTTATCAGATGAGTGTTTAAAAGATCATAGCATACAAGGCTCTGGCCAAGTGCTAGAAAATAGAATTAGAGTAGAGAGATTTTTGATGGGCTGAAGAGCCTGTTTCCACCCTGGAAAGCAGACTCTGGAGCCTGAGCTGATGACTGTATTAGTGAGGGGGACAGTTGCCTGTATTTTTTTTTTCTTTCTGGGAGGTAGTCACACCCCTTCCTTTTAAGTAAAGCTTTAGTTTTTTGACGGTCAGGGCAGGAGATGTGATTTTGTGCCTGTCAGTTCCAAGGACCTGTGATGCCCTTGCTGTTATTTAGGAGGTACCAAGTTGTTGCTTCCTGTGTGGATGAGAGTAAGGACTGCAAGATGGATGAGCAGACTGATAATGGTACCATCTTGCAAGCGGCCATTTGTTGAGGTGAGGTTAAAGGAGAAAGAAATGCTAAAGACAAGCATAGTCCAAAATAGGCGCTATGCTCAGCCATTGAGTCTGGAAGTTCAAAAAGCTGTGTTGCCAGTCCTGTGCTAGGGATCGGAATATTACGAGTGAAGAATAACCTGAGTAGGAAAGGTAGAAGGAATCAAATGCTATTGCTAAATATGAATAAGGATCTACAGATGGGGTTTGAGAGCTATGTTCCAAATTAGTAAGCAGAACCTCCATCTCAAATAGTGAGGAGGAAGGATAGTGGGGGCTCTGCAGATCAGGAAGCAGAATTAACATGGGTGGATATTAGGAATAAGGGTCCAGAATCTTAGAGTGGTTTGTGGAGCCTTTAACATTGAAAAATCATACAAAATTCATCATGCAGAGGTACTAAGCTCATGTCCGTGCTGATAGTTATACCATTGGGCAGAATATTAAGCAAAATTGAACCTGTAAGATAGGTAACATGATAATCATAACTTGTCTAATCATCTTAACCCTTAAGTTAGTGAAAGCTGAATTTGCAGAAAGTTCCAGGAAACTGCCACAGAAACAATCAGAAGTAAAGCTTATTTAGATCTTAATATTATGTGATGAGGCAAATTTAAGTTTTAATCTCATTGTCAATGGTCTTCCGAAGAAAATGTGATTATGCTACAGTTGAGTTCATTGGATTCCATATTAAATTTAAGATTGACATACTCTATTCCAAAATAAGATTCATAAAGCCACTTTCATAATTATGAATGACAGCTGGCTAAACTTGATTGGTTAAATTGGTTCAGATATATGGTGGTACAAATATGCAACATTTAAATTAACCAAAATTTTCAACAAAATATATTGATTAAAAAATGAAAGCTCAGCAAGAGCTTGCAAGAACTGTTATAAGAGTATTAAAAACCAAGGAGAGCAACTAAAGTAGACATTGGTCCTTCAACGAATTGGGAGCAATTATTACGGGGAGTGAGGAAATGGCAGAAATGCTAAACAGTTGTATTGTGTTTCTTTACATTAGAGGATACAAATTACGTATCAGAGAAAGGGTAACCAAGGGGTGAAAAGTATAGGGATTGTTGCAGTGTAGAAAACACAGCAGCCAGTATGCATATAGCAAACTTACACACTATGACGATGACCAAATAATCTGTTTTTATATTGATTTAAGGGTAAGTATTAGTCTGTACCAATGTTTGCTTGCCTTCAACATAGTGCAATAGATCTGTTGTATCCTTGTGAGCAGATAGATAGAAGCTTGGTTTAATGTCTCATTTGAAAGCAGCACCTCCAACAGTGCCACATCCCTTTAACACTGCACTCGAGTGTCAGCTTTAATTTTTGCATTCCACTCTTGGATCTTGAATCTGGAATCTTGTAACTTAGAGGTGTGTGTGTTACCAACTGAGCCACAGCTGACAATGAGGAACTAAATTAATATCAGCAGACAAAATTGAGGGACTAGAATCCAACTGTCTCCGAGGACCAAAAGGCAGCGTTGTTGGATATGTATGATCGTACAAAGTCAACATGGATTTAGAAGTGCAAAATTTTTGGTAATTTTTTTTGAGGATGTAACCAGTAGGATAGATGAAGGGGACCCAGTAGATGTAGTATATTTGAATTTGCAACAGGCCATACAAGGTTTAATGTGCAAGATATGGGCTAATGGAGTGTGAGATAGTTTATTAGCATGAAGGATTGCTTAGTAGAAGGAGTAAGGAGAAGCTGGGCTGTTTCAAAT